ATTCATCTAACACTTTAATTACCAATATATTTTTTCGTTTTTATGTCTTTATCACAGAGACAAATTAGCACAGATAAAGTATTACCAGTAACCAACAGCTTCATTGAGTTTAATTAAGACGATTTAAACTGCGAACAAATAGCAATTTTGGTAGATAAAGTGTCATTGAGATTAAATTAAACGCCAAACTCGCTTCCTTTAAAAAATGAATTAACTCATTGTGATGTCACTGTTATATAATAATATGACAGTTTGGTTTCGTGTGGACTATAGGTAGTGTAAATCTAATTAAAATGCTTTCCTATGTAATCAGTATAATTAGTCACAAATCTTCCTTAATCCTCACCTAATTAATATTCAATCACTTGGCGAATTAAATTAAAAAAAATCACAACATACATATAGTAATAACACTAATCATTGAGATAGACTCAAATTTTCAATATCTGAATCATCCTCATTCCCTCAAGACCAGCAAGCACATTCAATTGCATATCCTCCCAAGTACACATATAATCAATTAAACTAGTTCCATGTCTCTGTCTCCCATATCGACAAAATTCCCAGCGTCGGCAATAGTTTTGGCCAATTAAAGAAAGGGACGCATAAATAAATACAGCGTTTAATTGGGTTAATTTGAGTTTAATTAGAATTAAATTAATAAGCATAGGTTGGATGAAAAGCCAAGGTATTGGGTGGAATGTGATGCGTGTGTTTGTTTACTTTATGCTTTAAAATTAAAGAAGAAAGAAGAGATTCGACGTTCCCTTTAATCCATTGATTAGTATTGAATAGCTCAATTACAATTGACCCATATATACAGTGATAGGAAAACTATATACAAATTATTAAAGTTTGAGTATTTCAGAGAAAGCTGCCTAAGACGACAAGAACAGAAAAAGAAGAAAGCATCGTCGGTGGAACCGTAGAGTATATGAAACAGCAACATTTTGAAGGTCAAGAGATAAAGCTGATCGATGTGGGGCTCCGTGGCCACCTCTCTGGTCATAATATTATCGATGAGATGATGATGGTGATGATCTCAATATCGTCTCCATAACTTTTATAAAATAAAATAGTTATTGAACATATAAATATATAGTAGGTATTATTGTTTTATTTTGTGTTATATGAATTGAATGATTAAAAATAAGAGAAGGGGAAGAGGGTAAGTGAGTCAGAGCTTTCATTTCAGATAAGTATGTCTTTATTAGAATAACTGGACATGGCACCTTATTCTACACCCATTATAACTTCACTTCTTACGCTTCAATCTTAAGCTTGTCCTCACCTTTTCTTCTTCCTCATTGTGTTGACTGATCTGTACACTGCATCACAGAACCAGGGCTCCCAGGAAAAAAAAAAAAAAAAAAAGAGTAGCCCGAAGACTTAGCACAGAAAATATATCATCGCCCCAAAACAAGGACCATGGGTAGGGATACATACACGCATACATCTGTCTTTGATTCGAATTAATTAGTTAGTTCATTTGTAATTAAACGTGCTTTTTTAATATTATGTTGAACCGTTGACACGTTTGAATCAGTGTTAATTTGAATTAAATTGGGCTTACCATTGACGGAGGCAAACTCTTTTCATCAATAATATATGCTCAGTTACTTTAATATCATATTATATGACGTTCAATTTGATGCTGTATGCTAGTACCTGATTAAACTATTTCATTATTTAAAAAACACCCCCACAACGAGGCATGTATATGACAATATATGCATTTGCATCAGCACGAGGTTCTTGTTTTTGTTGCTTTTGTGCCCCCTTTATTGCATCTAAGCTGGTATCCAATTCTCGACGGGGTGCTTTTCATTCACTTTGGATTCTTTATATTTGTATACACTTTTTCAAGAATTATTAGGCTCATAATGTTTTGTCCACACGCACAAACACACCAAACAGAGAGATTCAAATACCTAGCCAATCATGAGCAGAAAAGCTTAATCAGCATACATATAATTTGCTTAATTACGTAAAATCCAACCTATGTCCACTCCTTTGCGAAGTGGATAAATGTACGTACTGTATAACTAAGCTCTACTAAGAGGATGCCGCCATAGTTCTTTGGATTCATGATATTAACCAATCGAAACTAATTCAGGATAAGAAAAGATCGATGCAGATGAGATTGGGTTCAGATTTTGGCTTCACATAGACGGATCCTCCACGAAACAATCATGAAGACGTATCCATATCCATCCACACACATGTACTGCTACTGATACTATTTCTTCCATCAGAAGATAAAATAAATATCCGAGCCATTAATAAACTTGGACACCCATGTGAGGCCAGCCATGTGTACTCCATCCACATGGAATGTGATGTGCTTTTTAGCGGAAGATTTGGACCAGAACAGCAGGTAGGACAACATATGAGTGTGTCATGAAAGCTAGCTTCTACGTGCTGATCATGAGAACAACTGCCAATCCATGTGGGAACAAGTCCCATCTTATATATATATATTGTGTTTGCCTAAGAAAATATTCATCTGCATAAACATGACCTTTTTAATTAAGATAATACTGTCAAACTCACTTCTGTATATAATTCTTACAAACTAGAAGGCCCATAAAATATATTAGAAATCATAAAGATGCTGCAAAAAGACAAAGGGGATGCGTGGCCATATATATATAAGAAAGTTGGGGTTTCCCTTTTGGTGGTAAAAAAAGGAAGAGTGAAGAAGAAAGAAGGAGAAGACATGTTGGAGGGACAGGCTGGAGAACAATGATTGGGGGTGGGGAGGGGGGTTTTCCCAGTTTTGAATATTACGCTGTCAGGGCATATGTTGTTGTCGTCGTTGTTGTTGAGTTTAAGAATTTGAGAGACTGGGAAGTGACGGTATTACACTACGCACAGTCACATAAGTACATGACTCAACAACCACCCTGAAAAATGTCTCACATCTCTCTTTCAAACCCAAATGACTATGTGGCAGCCAAGAGGTCACTTTTTGCTTCCACCGTTCAAAGTCCTTCATCCTCAAGTTAACTGTCGAAGTCTCTGCTTCTTGCTTGTTCCCAACCAATTAAGATGCTTCTTTGCTTCTGATAGAAAGCTCACCCTGATCTCACTTCTCAACCCCCCCCCCTTTCTAGTTTTGTCTTCTCTTATCGTCTTTCACTTTCGTCTTCTTTCATCAGTTTCTGCTATAAACCAGACTCAAAAGTGATATTTTTTGTTGTGTATTTTTAAAATTGGAAAAAAATAGAGACGTTTTCTTTGTTTAAAATTCAAAAACCTGAGTCCTCCAAAAATGATCATCCAATAAAAAATGTGGGTAAAAGTACGGGTGGAAGAAGAAAATGAAATTGCGTCATAAGAGTTGAAGTGAAGTTATTATAAGGCGTACGTCTCATTAAGATGCGCAGGACAGAGTAAGAGAGAATATAATGGATATAATATAGATGTAGTTAAGAGTAGTAAAGTGTACTTTGAAGACTATTATTATTTGCATATATATATGTATATATTTGTTATCATTAGGGTAGAATTTCCCGTTTCAGCATTGCACACAGACACAAGTAAAAGGAACAACCTTTTTGTGTGAAACTTGGGGTTTATTTAGGGATTAATAAAACAGCAGAAAAGGAGTCGCCACCGATCGTTGAATGACATCTCTGACTTTTATTTTAAAAACAGCGAAGACATAACAACCATCTACGTTGCAGACTACCCTCTGAAATTTCAACAACAGCCCTTTCATTTTTTTTTTTTTAAAAAGAAAACAATTTATAGTGCGGAAAGTCAGATGATCTTAAATAAACATTTCTTTATGAAACGTGATCGATGATGATGACTAGCATCCACCCAATTCACTTGGTCATTCGTCCCTTGTCGGTATGGTGGTGTTCATCGACCTACATTACAGAATATATATATATATATTCTAATTTGAAGTTTGACAATATCCGAATTCAACCTTGCGGAACTAAAGTGGGCTTTTCCTCACTATTCATTTGGGCTTTGGAGAAACAAAGCCCATCTCACTCTTCATGCCGGACAAAATTGGTTAGAGAAGCAGACACTCGCTTTAATCATGAAATATTTAGCCCAGTCTTAAAAGCAAGAGGACCATTCAAATCACGAACTAAGGATACTGGCCCTCGGGTTCATGCGTCCGTTCAAGTATAATTTTATGAAAGAATCAAAGCTTTTTAAAGTTGCGCTGCTTGAACATGCAGTGATAAATACTAGGGAATAAGTCCAGATTGAATTATACCAACTCGATTTATATATAACACAAACGATCACTCTTCTGATCCTTAATATAAGATCTGATTATTAAATTAATTTTGATTCTAAATATAAAACCTATTTTTTAATTTATCAATTTTTTTTAAATTGCCCTTATAGATACTTCATCAACCACAATCAAATAGTTACAGGAAGAGTATATTAAGAAAGATGATTATGGTGTTTTAGGAAAAACATATCATATTTTTTATAATTAACTAATCTACCTAACTTTCTTAATCTAATCAAATTAATTAAATAGGTCTTATATCAAGAATCAAAAGAGTATTTAATTGGGAAGTTATTCTAATTAATTAACTCAATCATCCAAAATATAATCTTAATTATTTTATTATTTTATAACCCCTGTTCTTTTATTATTTTATTATGGATGCCTTGTCTTTAACTTACTATTATTTTTCAAAGGAAATTGGCCACGTAGATTAGCACAAGGCACCCGGCACCTTATATGGCATCCTACGTGGCTTTGACCCAAATACAACCACAATCTTTCCATTGGATCCGTTAATCAATGTGTTCGATTTTTGCTGCATTCAAATTCCAATCCATCGCTTTGACCCCAAAAAAAAAAAATTCCAATCCATCACATTATGCAGCCGAGCGCAACAATTTGCCTCAGGTCATATAACGCAAAGGATGAACACGATGACTTGAGAAGGTTCTAAAAAATTCTCACGACTTTGACTTTTACAAGAATTTCTTCTTGGACCTAGAAACAGGTATCATTCATGCGTCAAAGGTACCATTAGCCTCAGAACGCTACTGAGAGAAAACTCATGAATGAGCGGGCATAAGTGAAACAGCAAACCTTAATTAACAAACTTCTACGAGTAATATGGTGATAGTCTCTGATACATTAAAGAACTAGAGATCAAACAAAAAGATGAGTCCTCATTCCTCTCTAATTTCACACAAATATCCTAATACAAAGAAAATTACACTAGAACAAAATAATCTGGTTGTCAAGCCAAAAGGTACCAGTTAGTTTCATTCTGTTATCATGTCAGCCTCCAAATCACCTGAAACAAAAAATAACCTGGTGCTGATGATAATAATGTCAGAAAATACCCCAACTGACACGATGCTGAGCTGATTTTGAAGAAGTGTACCTAAAATATCTATCGGGCAGGAAGAGATATGTTGATGTCCGGGTATGACCGTTGATCCGACAAGTGTTGAGAACCGTTCAAATGCTCATTCGGCGCAGTATCTGAGTTCTGTTTATGGCGAGTGACATCCTCAAATTCTGTCGGGCCTTGTTCTGGTATCTGGGACGTTGGTTTCAAACAGGCCTCACCATTAGGATTTTCGTGTGAGACAGGCCTAGCTGCCATCCCTGCGTCTGGACCACCTGAAATAGGAGACGCCGCTGTGTGTTGTCGGTGCTGTTTCTTTTTATGTTTCTTATGGTAACAACCATTTGACATGAAGCTTCCCATAACAATCTGAAATCCAATCCAAGAAGATAAGCTGAAAATTCTATGTGCTAGGTGGATTCATCATTCATGGGTCGGAAGTTGAGGAGATCATTAATATAATACCTGGATTGGACTAGCTGCTGTCAATAAACCAGCAACACCACCTCCAATGACTCGCCCGTCCGGGCCAGCCAGTGAGACGCTCAACCCACCGGTCCGGCTTGTCATGCCACTACCATTGTCGTTCATTGTGAATGAACCAGACAGAGATAAAATCTCAAATCGACCCTGAAACAGAATAATGGACTAAATCATTCCACAATGCCTAAGCTTTGGAGTTTGTTCTTAGAGAGGGAATCCAGAAAAAATGAACTTTGAAATTCTGATTTGGGGCATAGAGATATGAATTTGTGAAACTGCAAACTGCAACAGAGTTGGGAGGAGAGAGATCGTGCCTCGTAAGTCAACAAGCCACCGGAAGAACCAGGTTGGCGCATTGAAACATTAGAGATAGCTCCATTGGCAGAAAGAATGCATATTCCTCTGGGACCGTTCTGGGCGAACGAAAGAATTTTCCCGGCAACATCCTGCTAGGTAATAATGTAAAGTATCCATCATGTGTCCTATATTATAGCGTGCTATGATCTGAATCTAATGTAGATGACTAAGTATTCACTTGGGTTTTTGCATTACCTCTCCGGTATGAACAGTCACCACATGAGGCGTAAAATCCCCACCAGCTGTGTCTGCGAAAAACCCACCTTCAAAGATGGTAAGGCAGATGTTATAAGAAGATCTGTTTCTCAGACAATAATTTCATGCATATAGGATTGTATCAGCATACATTTATGCCGTGCACGAACGGTCTGGTTCAACTCGTTTTTAAAATCACAGTTTGTCGCTGGAAAAAAAATTGGAAACCCGACCACTTTACTTGCATACAAGAAAGTTCGTTTCTTTTCAGCGATTATGAGCCCCAACTCACCGTTTGTCCAGCCAAAGATTAATTCAAGGCAACTTCTCACCCCAGAGACAGAGGAGGTTCAGGACTTGAACTTGGAAAAGGAGCATATATATATATATCGAAGTAAATGTAGAGCGAAACTCACCAAAGGATGCAAAGAGGTGGGGAAGAGGCTTGGGTCGAGCCTTTTTGGAGGAGAAAGAGAAGGCAGAGCCAGACTGGTTCTGGTACGACTTCGTCAAATTGCCATCAGAGTCGTATTTTCTGGGCCTTCCTCTCTTCTTCTTGCCCAACAAATCAAAGATGCCTTGGCCGCCACTCGCCGGCGTCGTGACGGGTTCTGCGACCACTATTGCTCCTGCACTATTATTCGCCACGTCCGTCTTGGTTACTTGAGGCAGAAACGTCGTAAGAGGTTGTGGGGTTGAAGCCGACACACTTTCCTCCATTAGAGTACTCTACAGAGGTTGTCTGGGTGTTTTCGCAGGATGAGCAGCGACAAGGGGAGGGTGAATGCTTTGAGTTTGAGGTTTGAACAATGATGTCCCTGGGAATGGCGCCACAATTACCAGGACGCAGAATTTATGTTACCTCATAGGCTTGCTTTCTTCATGAAAGAAAACCAGACTCATGCCATCCATTTTCTTTCCCCACTGCACTGGTGCGCCCCGTAAATACGGAAATTACCTTGGAAATAATCAATTTAAATATATCCAGAAATTGTTGAAATAATCAAATCACGCAGACAAAAAAAAAAAAGAAGGTAATAATCAAATTACATTTTCTGTAAATACACTGTTTTTATATTCTGTGTTGAAAAAAAAAACCACCAAACAAGCCACTTTAGGCTCTAATGGCAATTATCACGTACCAGCAATTACAGTCTTCATTGGAATTAAATCGTCGTTTTAAATTATAACTTAAATCTGCACCTAAACTTTTGTCATGGGACATTTACTTTTACACCTGGGCGAACAAATTCCCATGGCCTGTTCTGGTATTTATGGAAATCCAAATTGACCCCCGCTTAACTGAATCAAAAACATATATTAGAAAACGCGGGAAATTTTTTCCCCCCTCATTAATATGCCTCCACTAGACAGATGGCTCCAAATGGAAAAAAGTGAATCAGATCAATTGGACTTTCATGATCACTCGTGTTATGCAATTATCAACACGTTATTGCATTGATTATTGAAGTATTGCCCAGTAATGTTGCATTAGTTAAGCTGACATAGTATACAATAAGGTTGACAACGGTAAATGTCGAAAATAATATGAGCACCTTTTTATCAAAAGAAAGAATCAAGCTGCATTAGATTTTTTTCATTAAAAATCATTTCTTTTAAGAATAATCTCCTGAGCATATACTATAATTTAGAGAAGCAGTGAGCGGATAAAAGGAATTTAATCTATTACCGGAGTATGATATATTTTGGTGCTTATAAATCGAAATATATAAAAATATGGCAAAAAGAGTTAAAGGTTTACTCTCGGTTACGAATATTCTTTTCTTACCAGATAATCTTGTTATGGGGATAGGGATACTTTTTCAACATCAAAAGAATTTAAAAAAAAAAAAAAAACCGAGTTAAACGGAAGCAAGTCACCAGAGGAACATTTTGGTAACGTGAGGGCGATGCTGCCGCTTTTAACTGAAAGAAACAAAAGTAATTTTTGGCCCCAAAAAATGTAACAATTATTAGAGTTTGGAGGGATTCTTGGCTTGAAAACAAAACCTGCCGCGTAAACGGCCCCAAAAAAAAATTGCGGTTATAAAATATACGAGTAACAATAATTAAAAATTCAAGTCTCTTTGTCACGCTTCCAAGCTTTAACGGAATTTGGAATATATATTTTATTGGTATCACCAGACTCTAATTTCAAAAGATTAGTTATTGGAGCACTTCCTACCGCTCTACATTTAAATATACTCTTTGACTAAGGTAAGCAAAATAACAATCGCTTGTTGAAATTCAAGAGATGATAAAATCAGTTTTCTCAGAGCATAAAATAAACGAAGCTCACATGTCTTTTAGACCTTAGAATTGCAACCGGCGTAAATTAAGATCCTTATTTTTTTTTATTATAAAGAATTAGTAGTTAGAATCATAACCAAGTTCTGGTGTCTGTTTTAGGTAAACATGAAAATCAGAGCAATTTTTAGACACTTAACAATGTAGCTCATTTTTAACGTGAATAAAATCGACTTACATTAAGAATACAATAGAGTATAGTTTAATTTTAGGGAGAATTAGTCATTCATTTAAGTGAGAAAATTGAATGCAAGTATATTCCTGAATTTTCTTTAATACCAACATGTTTAGAAAAATTTAGTATTTACGATTCAAATTTTTATATTTACGAATTGAGTCATATGATTTACAAATCAAATTTAATAACTGGCAAAAAAAAAATCAATAATTTTATGTTTGCAAGACAATTTTTCACGCTTACGAGTTAAATTAACTTATTTATAAGTCAACCTGGTAAGTATAAAATCTCTTAGAAGTCGTTTAATTAAATAAAATGCAAGATATTTAAGTTTATACTTGAAATCCATTATTAATATTATCTTAATTTCAATGTATTATTTGTGTATTATTCCTCATTAGTATTCTATTTAACTGAGATCGAATCAGTATAGGCCACCAATGTTAAATGGAATTTGAAAAATAAATTGTATCCTGCTACTTTTGAATTACAACTGTAAAATTTTCAAATTATATATTCGTATATAGATCATAATAATTTACAAAATTGTTTTTTTGAATATAAAAATTGTTGTTGATTTAGTAAAAACACGTGGGAGAGACTGGGGGAGTCTCGATCAAATCCTCAGTCCTCAGAAATAAGAGGATATTTTTATAATTAAAATCCTGAGATTTAACAATCAAGACTCAACTTTCTATGTTTACAATTTAAAAATAATTCCCATTTTTTCAACAATTGTTTTACTAAATTCTTGTTTGTTAGCATTCCCCGCATACACATCTGGCTCTTTAAAAAGAACAGTGAGATCTTCATCAAAAAAAAAAAAAAAAGAACAGTGAGATAAAAGCTGTCGGTAAGACCGTTGACCGTCCTGACAAAATCACGCCACCCATTATTATAATTAACTAATGTAAAATTAATAAATTACCACAGCCCAACATAAAATATTCATTTGCTGATTCCAACTTTTATATTTTTATTTATCTTTCAACCCCAAGTATTTTTGTCCAATCGCAATCATGTGCTAAATTAGTCAAAAAGCAAATCAGATTCGTTTAAAAAGATAAAAAATTAAGGGCCTGTTTGGGTATCCCCAAACCGTGGTTTCAGAAGCACTTTTCCGCAAAACGAGATAATCTCCTCCACATATTTACTTCGTAATCCGTAAAAGCACTTCTAAAACCATGGTTTGGATTCTATCCAAACACACCCTAATTCGAAGTTGCGTTTTCGACTTGGGCAGCCGGTTCAATTTTGAAAATCATCAGTCGGTTCACTTTGGTGATAAACTTTTCGTAAAATTAATTGATGGAAATAACGTGGCAATTTTTTTAAAGAGTGTTTAAAAAACAGTACTCCTACTCCTTCCGGTCCTTAATATAAAACTCATTTAACTAATTTGATTAGATTAAAAAAATTAGGTAGGTTAGTTAATTATAATAAACGTGACATATTTTTCCTAAAACACCATAATCATCTTTCTTAATATTTCCTCTCCCTCTTCTATTTAATTATGGTTGAGGGAGTATCCATAGAGGTAATTTAGAGAAAATTGATAAATATGATAAATTAGTCTTATATTTATGACTAAAACTAACTCAACAATTGAATCATATATTAAATACCAGAAGAGTATTATTTTACGGGTAATAGACGTGTGTGTGTGGATATGCCACACGCGTTACATATGATGCTTGAAATGTTAAACCAAAACGCTAATAGATTCTTGTTTGCCAAAAAAAAAATGCTTTTTTGACAAAAGTAAAGTAGTGCTATTTTCACTCCAAGTTATTTTTGTGTGTCTCTGAGAAAAGCCATATTAGCCCGACAATGATTTCTACACCTTAAAAAGGAATTAGTTTTCGACTGTCAGGTGGGTTTTTTATTAAAAAAAATATTTACTTTCTCTTTAAACATTGGAAAAATCATTAAAAAAATATTTAAAATAGAAATAAGGATCCGTTACAATATGAATATTAGTTTTGACAGTAATTAATAAACAAATTACAATAATTTTTATGAAATGATCCCTGTATGCAATTTCTTAATTTTTAAATTCTATTTTTTACAATTTTTTCTTAAACATACTCATTAAAATTTACTACCTCCGATCATAATTATAAAATCTTATTTATAGCCTATAAATAAAGTTTTATAATTAGCATCGAAGGTAATATTTTTTCCAAAAAAAAAAACCTATTTTCAATAAGTAGAAATGAAAGAGAAAGAGTGTATTGTTCCTGAGAAAGAAAGACACTGTATTAGTAATTTGATTGATTCGTGGCTATAGTGGGTGAGTCTCCCAATGGGGATTTCTGCATACGCTAAGGCTCGAATTTGAGACCTTGCTTAAGCGATACCAAGCCACTTACCACTTGGACCAATCCTTGTTGATAGTTGCCATTCTTTTGAATTTAGAGGCTTTGTTTGCTCTACCAAATGGGCTAGGGGAAAAAAGAAAAAAAAAAAAAAAAAGAGAGAGCTGGGAGTTGTATAATTTAGGCATTAATGACAAAGGGTAATTAATTAATTGAGGCCTTTCTTTAGCAAGATTTAACCATGCCGTACATCTAACGTCCATTTCTTCACCCACCACCTAAACTCTGCTTCCATATTTAACCTAAAAGCTGGTCAAATAATTGGTAAATCATTCAATTTTTGAAAAAGTTGAGGAGAATGATAAATTGATAATCAATGAATTCATAAGAAGGTTAATACTGGATAATCTTGTTTTTAAAAACAATGCTAGATTATGAAAATATAATGAAGGAAAATCTCATTAAAAAGATACTCAAATAACATAGATTTTTATTTACATAATTAAATTTGTCAAATTTCTAATCAGGTGACGTGATCTAAAAAAAGATGTTAAAATTTTACGAAATGACTCTGATACTCTTTTTATTAGAAACCTGGAAAGATAAAGATTTTTATCATTTCTATAATACATAAAACCTCTAAACGAAGGAAACTTGGCAACTACCATTACAGAGTCAGAAAATTGATCAAAAAGATAATGGTAAGTTAGTTTTTATATTAATTTTTCCTCTTTTAGTCTTGATAGTTTTATCCTTAGGAAAAAAATGTTACGGGTTATTTAGAGTTAAAATGTGTTAACTCTAAAATAAATTGTGTTAATTTACAAAGCTATATTGTGATAAAATTTTATCAAAAGATTTATTACAAGTACATTATGGAGATAAATTATTGTTCATTGAGGATCGAAACATGTCTAACCCGTTAAACGAAACATATTAATTATTAAGTTTATATTATGATCAAATTTTATTCAAAAACTCATGCAAGTATATTTTGGAAACAGAAAATTATTAATTCAAAATTAAAATGTATTAATTGCGATATTAAACATGTTAATTTAGAATTCTTCTATTTTGGTTTCTAATAAAAGGGTCATCAAAGTTATTTCATAAAAAAAATTTCTATAATATATGACTTTGTTGGGATTTTGACAAATTTAATTATCCAAATAAAAATTTGGGTTATTAAATTATCTTTCTGGAAGATTTTCCTTATAGCGAATCTGAAAGTTTAAGCTGTGATGAGGTTTTGACTTATTATTAATTGTTATGAGGTCAATAGGTTATAATGAAAATTTTCAGAATTACAAAGAATTATATATAAAGTTTTTAAAATCCTTTCGAACAGAATAATAGTTTATCTCTGACCCAACACTATAAATTATAACTTTACCTCAAATTTTCTATTCCTAAATTGTAAAAAATCAAGTTCGGGATTTATCATATTCAAAATAAATATATTTGGTTTTCAACCTCGACTGCGTTTATTAATTTTCACAGACAAAAAAAAACGGTGCAAGTTTAAGTTGAGTAATTTTGATATTTTTATCAAGACTGAATCCCCCCCCCAAAAAAAAAATCTTGAGTAATTTTCACAGGAAAAAAAAAAAGAAACACGACCGATTCTATTTAATATTTGGTCAACAGTCAACACTACCCTTTTAAATATTGAATTAGATTGTAATAAATTTTGATCTTTTTTGCCGAGTATAAAATTTCGAAACTGCTGCTGGTCAGAGGACACGAAATACGAAATCAACTCCGAGAAGCCTTTTAAACTCGCCACTAAACATCAAAATTTGTATGGATGATTCTCTGCCATTAATTAATTAATTAGTAAAATACTCCCTCCGTTCCTTATTATAAGAGACATTTGGTGCTTATGGCATGTTCCTATATATAAGAGACACTTAAAAGTTGTTTCTACTTTTTTGTGTTGATTTCCTATTTTACCCATATTTATTGTCTCCAACTCACACTCTCTCTCTTTCCCACTTCTCTTTCTTTTAATAAATTACCATTGTTCTCTCTCATGTTCTCTCTCCTTATTAATGAGGGCATTTTTGGAAAAAAAAATTATACTTTTTACATATTAATTGTTCTTAACTAATTTTAACTGTTTTTTTGATCAACGTAATTCGGTTATTCGTCTCTTATAATAAGGAACGGAGGGAGTAATAGATAAAATTAACAACAATGAAGTTAACTGCGTGACTTTGAAAATTTTAAACGCATTTACTGTCAAGTTTTAAAATTCATCAAGACTATCTGGATATATTTCAACTTTTAAAATGATACTCCCTCCTATCTTAATTATAATATTTCATTTACAGACTATAAAATAAGTTTTATGATTAGGATAGGAGGTAATATCGTAGTTTTTTTTTTTTGGTAGCTCATAGTGATTTTGGGCTTAACATAATCTATATCTAATTAGAACATAAAACCCTATTTTATTATAAAAGTCAGATCACACAGATTTAAAAAACAAGAGATAGCATAATTTGGCGATTTAAAATAAAGCACAGACAAAAACAAGAAGAAAAGTGGATGACGGTGACAGAAATAAACAATGATGCGATTGCATTCGAACAGTTAATTACTTAAAGATTAAAAAAATAAATCTTTTTTGAGAAATACTATTAATTAACCTAAAACCATAGATCATGTAACTTGCAGTTTTAAAATTGGGAAAACGAGGAGTGAAGTTGAATTGCGCAATCAAGTACAGTTGTAAAAATAGGTTCCTTTCTTTTGGCAACATACATCTCTTTTGCTTTACCAAGCACGCGTCTGGAAAATCATAATCTTTTGGATTTGGTTTACCCATAAATCTATTTTATTATTTTTTTAAATCCAGAAAACCCAAAAGAGCATTCCACGAAAGATAGATTCTCAAGCCCTCATCATGTGCCCTATCCCACCCCCCTTCTCTCACTAATTTCAAGTTTCAAACTTCTAAATATTTCATCACCGGCTAGGAGAAAAAATTGATATTTTATGTGTGCAAACTTTATATTATACCACTATTTCAATTATGTCATTTTCACTTATAAAATTCTGTAATAAAGTTTTTTTGAGACATTTCAAAGTAAGATTCCATTTTTCTTTCTCATGAAAATATAATCAAGGAGACTTTTCTTTCCCATTGGTGCTTTTGAAGTTTCAAGTTTCAACATGTACAATTATGCAAAGAATGGAAAAGAAATCCCAACCTTGTCGTGACCTAATATAGAGATGTGTGTAGAATATATAGGGACCACAAAGTCTGAGAGAGAGGGAGAGAGAGAACCGTAACTTGGCTTGTAATCAAGAAATTAAAAAATTGCTCAAAAGTTGTAACTCCATGTGATTCACCTTCGCGCCCTAACCTAACACCCCAATAAATATCTTTGGAGTTGTTCCCATCCACAGCTCTTAATTCAACAATCTGCCTTTATAAAAAGCCCTGCAGCTTTTTGATTAAAATATCGCTCCCTATATTAATTTTGCAATACCCACTTGTCTGTGATTATTCAATGAGGCAGCCTCCACTTGGCATTTCCGACGCATTCATTGCGAACTAGCTCTAGGCCCTTCATAATTTGAAACTAGTGTGGCTTATGTTCTTCCCAGCTTATGAATAATGTAAATTTATAGAAGATTTATATCACATGTCAAGGCATTGATTGATCAGTAGTCACTCCATTATAAACTGTAGTCATTTTTTGTGCCTAAATATGAATTAATCCCGAGGGATTCTAAGTTACTTGTTCTGGTCTAAATCTAGGACTAGGAGTAGCCCATAAAAAATTTAATTGAGCGGATTATTTATCAATATTGTTTAATGATATGTATTAATTTCTCTAAAAATATTCCTTTGTTAAATCAATTTAATTCAGTCAACTTTATGGGGAAAAAAGTTGTGCAATTAATAAAGACAGCAGGAAAAAAATAATAATGTTTTTTTTTTTTTTTGCATTCATAGTGCTGGCGACCTGGCGCGCGTTGTCAATCTGGAAGGCGTCTACTTTTCTCCGCTTGTCTGACATTTTAGGGCCTCAATAGGTAGGTCCAAATTGGTTCATCCTAAATATTGGGCCTGACCCAAAACTAGCATTGGTCTAATTTTGCACCAAAGCATCTTTTTTTGACAAGAACACCAAGGCATTCAAAGTCACCCGCCCAAGCCGGCAAGCCCCAGAGAAACTCCGATGAATTGCTTGCTTCTCTCTCCTAAATTACCTTCTCAATTTCAATATTATAGTCACTCATTTACAAAATTTTCCAGATCCCCTGAGTGTTCCATTTTTCCGGGATGACGGTACAGCGTGTAGTTTGCAGGTTTGACTAGGTGATGAGTATTTACGTCACACGACTTGCGAGTTGCTGTTGCCAAAAAAAATAAATAAAAATAAAAAGAATCGAATCTATAATCTCTATCTAGAAACCAATGCCGTAGATCGAACATTTTGACCGCAATCAATCAGACAATGAATAATTGTGCGTGACGGCCATAGATATGCTCCTCAAAATTCCCCAGTCGCCCTAAGGCGAACTCAAATCCGCTGGTCAAGGCTCAAATACAGAGCCAATCTCAGTGAGAGGCTTGAAGGGCCCCCACCAAAGCGGCATCTTCCCTTTGAACTTGATGCAATTATTATCATACCGCACTAACCACTAACTGTTCCCGTGATATCCACATTCCCATAAAGCGCAAACCCATTCCAAACTTCGATATGCTTACCTCCTCCGTTTGGTTGACCCCCTCTTTTTTTTAACTCTCTCTTCCTGACCACTTCGTCCGTCTTCCTCCTTCCTTATCCTCTTTCCCTTTCGGTATTCTGCCCGTTTTGCTTGCTGCCCTGGGCTCTGTTGAAGATGCTTTACTCTTCTTTTCTCTGCCGGACTCAATTTCTTCTTCTTCTTCTTCAGCTCAATGCCGCTTCAGATGCTGACGCCCAGTGATTTTCTCCACGTGAGTGGTAGGTTTATGCTCTCCCCACAACCCCCCCTTCTTGTCATGGTTTTGAATCTCGGGGATTTTCCTTTAATTTTAGGAGCTTCCTTGCTTTATTAGCTTCAGTGACTCTAAAAAGGGAGAAAAAATCGGAATTTTGAAAATGGGTTTGGTACCCGTGAAGGCTCTTAGCGTCACTGAGTGTAGATCAATGATTCGTGAATTTATCTTCTGTTTTTCTCTGTTCCTTTACTGCCAAAACATTTGGGGTAGCGATTATCATTACCGCTTCTAAATTGAGATAATATTTCCTCTATACTGTCTATGGATTTTATCTTGCCTTTTTATGTTTCACAATCACACTCGATATCTACCGAAATCTAGTGATGTATGTACCTTGCTATGGAATTGCGTAATGGATGTGTTTTTCACCGTCTGATTTGTGTGTACGTACTGAATTACATTCAGGTTACTAAGTTTATCCTGTTAGTTGCATTGGATTGGGCATTTCAATGGGGGGCGAAACGGCGAACGGGTCATGGTTCAGCGTATTTTGGCCTGTCTCTCGCAAGACTGCTCTTGACAACAAGGCGTCAATCGGAATTTTGGCATCAGAAGTTGCCAGCTTGATGCTAAAAGTAGTCAATTTGTGGCGTTCTCTGAGTGATGTGGAGGTAATGAGTCTGAGAGAAGACATTATAAATTCAGTTGGGCTTAAGATTCTGGTGTCTGGTAATGATGATTTCTTAATGGAACTTGCATTGAATGAGATGCTTGATAATTTTGAATATCTCGCAAGGTCTGTGGCCAGGTTGGGTAAAAGGTGCACTGATCCGGTATACCATCGTTTTGAACATTTTGTTGATAACCCGGCCCAGTATAGCTTTCAATGGTCTGGATGGGAATATAAATCTAAAAAGATGGAGAAGAAGGTTAAAAAAATGGAAAGATTTGCTGCTGCTATGACACAATTGTCCCAAGAGCTCGAGGTCCTTGCTGAGCTTGAACAAACATTCAGGAGAATGCAGGCAAATCCTGAGCAGAGCCGAGTAAAATTGCTTGAGTTCCAGAAAAAGGTCGCATGGCAGCGCCAAGAAGTGAAAAATCTAAGACACATGTCTCCTTGGAATAGAAGTTATGATTATATCGTCCGGTTGCTGGCAAAATCACTCTTAACAGTACTTGAGAGGATCATACATGTTTACGGAAATAGTCATCTGTCAACTCAGCAACAGAATGATTGTCCAGACATGGATGCTAGTCATCTTCCACGCAGCCTTTCCTTTTCTGTTCCAACCCATTCTTCTTTTAACTCATCGTATAATCAGTTTCATGGATTTCATTCAGAACCACTTGGAAGCATGCCAGTGTCGAACTCAGACTCTGTAACTGACAAGAGCAAAAGAGCAAACACGCTTCAACAAGCTCTTAATGCAACTGCCTTACGTGGAAAGCATCTTCGTTCAGCAAGCAAACAATTAGCTCATATTGGTCCCTTCAAAGGATGCATGTGGGTAGGAAATGAGTCTCCTGTTGTACAGAGCTGCATGCCAACAACTGGAGGTTCTATGAGGTTGAATGACTGCCATATGAAAAGTGTTGATAAAATGAACGTTGTGGATAAATTATCTCTCTCTTGTAGGAATAGAATATATTCTAGATTATCCATCAAAGGTCGATTAAAGCCAGCTCCAATTACCCTTGGCGATTCTGCTTTGGCTCTTCATTATGCAAACGTTATCATATTAATAGAGAGAATGGTATCATCGCCTCAGTTGGTTGACCTTGAAACCAGAGATGATCTGTATAATATGTTACCAGCAGCTATGAGAAGTGCTCTGAGAGCTAAGCTAAAGTGGTGCACCAAAAATAAGGATGCTTCTATCTATGATGCTAATCTTGCAGAAGGATGGATACAGGCACTCGCGCAAATGCTAGAATGGTTGGCTCCACTCGCTCATAACATGATAAAATGGCATTCTGAGAGGAATTTTGAGAAGGAGTATACCACTTCAAGAGCAAATGTTTTACTTGTCCAAACGCTTTACTATGCGAACCAACCAAAAACTGAAGCTGCAATGATAGAGCTTCTTGTTGGCCTGAATTATGTATGCAGGATAGATAGAGAAATTGGCAGAAGAGATACGGCTGAGTTTGGTGGTGCTAGATCTTGTAATGGTGTTTGTTTGGGAAAGAATGATATCTGTAATGAATATGCTTAGAGTTGGACAGTGACAGTGTAGTCCTCATGGCTCACAGGAAGGTGTGATCGGCATTGTATAGCTCTCATTGCAAATGGGAGGGTAAAGGATTTGCCGTTCAGCACTTTTAGGGCTCCGACATGTTGAAGCTCAGGTTACGTTTCGTTGTATCATTTAAGACAGCGTATGTACATGCATTCAGATACAATCTTACATGATTCCAAGCGAAAGAGGGCTTCTTTTAATATCACTTTAAAGCATTTGATCCCCTTCTTAGTTCTGCAAATAAAAGCAAATTAATTTTTTCCAAGCAAGAATGTATTATAGGGTAAAAAGGCGTTACTCCTTGTGAAGTTTGTTCAATGATTACATGCTGCAGCTTTAGACCCCATCCCATTGAAGTTCAATATGTACAAATACTGACAAAACTTCTAAGCGCAGCTTAGAAATTAAAACAATGCACTCGCTGTTCAGAGTTTTGTGGAATTTGAATAAAAATCCTATAGGTATTAGGTAACCCTCTTGTATAGAGGAGGTGCGGCCAGAGACTAAAGCGTCCAGAAATGACCATCATTTATCAGTAATTGTGAAACCAACCAAACAACCAACCGTACAAATGGTCCCAAGATAGTATCATCAAATGACAACAAAATATCATTGGGAAAAAAAAAACAGCACGCAAACTACTAAATCCAGAGGTGTAAAGGTCCATTGCAGCAATCTTTATTCAGTCTCTCTGCTCCGATCCACACCTTACAAGCAAAATAGTATGAAAAATAAAAACAGTGAGATAGATTCTCACCTTATAATCTCATGCCACACAGGTCAATATAGTGGAGAACTAATATGGAGCTGTTCTTCTTTATGTCTTCTTCACCGCGCTTCCTTTTCAATTCAGCTTATTTGCTTTGAGAATCATTTTCCTCCCATCATGGTTGGGCCTTGAAAATCTAGTTCTTGCAAACAAGGAAGTTAGATATTGAAAGAATAGCATATTAAAATCAAAAGGGTTTGGGTTTGGGATACCTTATTATACTGTCCCCATATGTTATATCTCAAAATAGCAGCAACAGAAAATAGCTGCTGGCGAACAAGGGCTTTAAAGCATCGAAAGGAGCTCTTCCCCATGGGAGTAAGGGTGTATGCGGACCTGCGATGTGGCGTATGAGACAACCTTCTTCCATGAATCCGAGCACTTCCTCTTAAAAGCTCTTAGGGCACAGCTGTAAGCGGAAAGGCCACAAGGCAAAGGATCAATTACAAGATTAATTTAAATCAACCATCCAGAATCATTCTAAAACATTCAAATGAACCCAGCATCAGTGATCTTGAAAACAAATAGGTCAAAAATCCCCCAAGTGTCGCTCGCAAATATTGTTTGTTCGGGCTCTGATACCAAACATAATGTTCCCAGGTCCTGTCGTAGCCACCTCAGGTATCACTTGCAAATATTATCTGCTTTACTGCAGTCATAGGCACCCCCAGGTGTCGCTTGCAGATATTGTCTGTTTTGGCGTAGCTGCAGCTATCTCATGATTTTATTTCCTTGTGTGCAGCCGTAGCCACCTAAAAAACGCGTCTACGAGGAAAAGGTATCACACCCTTATAAGGCGTGCTTTGTTCTCCTCTCCTGCAGATGTGAGACTTCACAATAACACTAGTGGAGGAATCTTGGGCTAATAAAAACACGGCATGAATGTCGTCCTCTTTTCTTCATCTCCTCACGAATGCAATACAGCGTCATCTTGTTCTGAGCAACATGATGGCGCAGAGCCATACCAGAGAATGATAAGCGGCTGGAGGAATTTACAGGTGGCGGAGACAATAATCGGAGAGAGCAAGGCAAATGGGGAAATGATGATAGGTGGCGAGGCAGAGGTGAAGAGTTTTAAGAAGTCGTTCCTGCCACCCAGGGCTTGTTTGGATCAACGTTGCAAAAGTGCTTATAAGTATTTTCACGCAAGCTGAGAAAAAGCTCATTTCACATACTTACCTCGTATTCCGTAAATCACATTTGAGAAGCTATTTATAAGTTATTCCAAACGAGCCCTTAGTCATTATGAGTTAGTTAGCTGGCTTCTTGTTCCTGTTTCCTCCTTCTTCTTCTACAGTTTCTTTCTTTGTTCTTTATTATTATTATTATTATTATTTTTTTTTTTGGTGTTTGGCGACTACACATTTAATAAATTCTGTTGCGGCTTAGGAAGAAAAACGTCTATTTCCATGAGAATGCAAATAAGAATAATGCCTCTGATGTATGAATATATTAAAATATTTTTATTTATTTTTTAATTATTAAAATAAAATTTTAAGTCTATTTAATAAGAATGGTATTTAATTTTAATTTCCACGTGGCGCGGCGTCTACTGCTCCTCCAACGGTCGAGTCGTCGCCTTCTCTCTCCTCCCTTCCTCAATCTCCGAGGAACGATTGGCTCACTGTCATCGCTTGCGCGCCTTTGCCTCCTTGACCTCCACGATAGTCGTTTAAACGGCAGCACTGCGCCGGTCTCCAACTACACCCGCCTCAGGATCCTTTACCTCTCTCACAACGACGTCTCCGGCGAGTTTCCGTCAGGAATTGCTTCTCTTAAGCATCTACTGAGGCTTGACCTTTCTGACAACAACATCCACGGTCCCATTCCCAACCAACTCTCTTCCTCAGCTCACCTTCTCACGCTTCGTCTACAGAACAATGTGCTCTCTGGGCAAGTTTCGGATCTCTCTGTTCCGCTCGTTAATCTCACAGACGTCAATTTCACCAACAACGAGCTCTACGGAAGCTTACCCGATGGGATGTTGAAGAAATTCGGCGACAGAACCTTCTCTGGGAACGAAGCTTTGTGTGGCTCAGCCCCATTCCCAATTTGTTCCTTCACAGACAGCCCTTCTTCTGCATCACCATTGGACGCAACCTCCTAGATTCTATCAATCTCGTCCTTTACCAATGCCTTTTTCCTTCACTCGCCCCCCTATGACCCCCCCCCCCCCCTTTTTCTCTTTCTTGTTTTACTAATCCGTGCAAATAAAAGCAAATTAATTTTTTCCAAGCAAGAATGTATTATAGGGTAGAAAAGGCGTTACTCCTTGTGAAGTTTTTTCAATGATTACATGCTGCAGCTTTAGACCCCATCCCATTGAAGTTCAAAGCAGGCTTGAGAACTGATATGTACAAATACTGACAAACTTCTAAACGCAGCTTAGAAATTAAAACAATGCACTCACTGTTCAGGCTTCAGACGCAACGGAGTTTTTGGAAGTTTTGTAGAATTTGAATCAAAACGCTATAGGTATAAGGTACACAACTAGAGACAGGAATATCCGATTTATTTTATACAGCGGCATGTCCTTTGTGAGGAACTGGGATGACTCGGAGGGGAAGAGCCTTCCTTAGCGTGATTCCCATTTTCTCAGTCATGTCCATATCCTGGGCCCTAACCCGATCCGCTAGAACCCAATCAAAAGCGTGCAAGATCGAGCCTAGAGCCAAGGGAAGCACACGAGACGCAAGCGGTACCGCAGGGCACATTCTTCGTCCTGAGCCAAATGGTATGAACTCGAATTGGTGCCCCTTGTAGTCCATCTTGTTTGCCTCCATGAACCTCTCTGGCCTGAACGTTAAGGGTCTTCCCAAGAATTCGGATCCCGCCCGATTGCCCAAACGTTCACAAGAACTTGGGTCTCTTTTGGGATGTGATAACCTAACATCTTGCAAGATCTTGCAAGAGTCCATGTGTGAGGCACCAAGAAAGGAAGAGGTGGGTGAAGTCTCAGCGTCTCCTTGATCACTGCCTTAAGATAAGGAAGGTCCTCTATGTCCTTCTCCTCCAGCTTCTTGTTTAGTTCTAGTTTGCTCCTCAGCTCAGCCTGCACTTTCTGAAGAGTTTTTGGATTGTGTAACAGCTCGGCCATCGCCCACTCTAGTGTGCTTGTAGTCGTGTCTGTTCCCGCAGTAAACATTTCCTATACATCCAAATTTTGTTATATAGTGTCATCAATCGATAATAGTCACAGTAATTAATTAGGAAAAATAGCGAGGAACTTACGAAGACAATCACATTAATAGTCCTTGGAGAAAAACTATAGGTGCCTTTGACTCCTTCTTCACGAAAGTCCAGCAACACGTCTAAGAAGTCTTTTTTTCTCTTGTCATGATCTGCACATTGGCAACTGCCTCTACAAGTCTCCATCCTTTCTCTGATGAAGCAGCCGGCAATCTCAAAGGCTCGCTTTATGTGAGACTGGGACTTCCTCTTTATTCCCTGAGGATCAAACCACCTCAAAAATGGCAAGAAATCTGCAGCATTTGGCTTCCCAGCCAACTCCATCATTCCCTCCCCGCGTGATAAAAGAATTTTTGCCCTCTCTCTGATTCAGGGTCCAGCAAGTCCTTTGAGAATATGAGGTTCCCAATGAGATTAAAAGCCATTAAGAAAAAAAACCTCCCAATATCAATAGAGGCACCACCAGCACCGGCTTCTTCAATGAAGTGAACCATACGGTCTATGCACTTCCTGCGAACCCCTTGCATGGCGTCTAACCGGCTCGTGACGAAGAACTCGGTGGTGCTCAGGCGCCTCAGCATCTTCCAGTGCGGGCCGTATTGAGACGTTATGAGAGAACCCTCGTGGCCGTAATCATCTTTCATAGCCTCATATATCTTCCTGCCAGCCAGAACCATGTCGTGGTTCTTGAACATGTCCCGAGCCACTTGGCTAGAGGATACGACCACGGTGCACATGGACCCTAACCAGAGGGTCATGATTGGACCATGCTTACGAGCCAGTTGGGCAAAGGACTCGTGCGGTGACCAACCCAATTGGAAAATGTTGCCAACCACAGGCCAAGACGTTGGTCCAGGTGGAAGCTGAAGCTGAAACCCCACGTTAGTTTCCACCGGCTTCCGCTGCTTTCGTTCCAGAACCCAACTGCCCACCCAAAACAGCATAGCTAGGATCAAACCCACAACCATATATTCCATGACGATACTAAAGATTTTAGCAGTAAATTTTTTTTTTTTGGATCAACTGATTTTGTTCATGGAGGTGCTTCTTATATAGTCGTACCTGCTTTGGCCAGCTAAAACGTACAAACTGATGTTTGCTTTGGTGCTAACGTACAAGCGTACAAAATATATAATGCATGCTTTGTTCAAGTTATATTGTCAGTTTGTTTGTTGAGCATCTCTTTTTCTTTATGTTAGTGTGATGCCATTTTCATCAGGAAGCAGTTGGGTTAAATCAGAGATGAAGACACGAGCCGGTCTCGAGCTACCCAGCCAAATTCTATACTTCTTCTTTATTGGCTTATTTTCTGTCTTTCGTGAATTGCTTCTTCAAGAGTAGAGATTATATGGTTTTATAAATTCATTTATTATTTTATTTGCTTTCGATGTACGTACAAAATAATATTTTTCATTTAGTTCCTTTATCTGTATAATATATATATAGGGATAAAGTGTTTAAATACTCTAAAAGTATCTACAAAAAAGCATTCAGTACCTGAATGTTTTTTTTTTTTGCTCTTATATGCTCTGTAAGTTTTATTTCCCAGTATTTTTGTCATGAATCGTTATTCGCTGTTAAGTTTAATCATTAAAGGCATTGCATAATTTAACAGTCAAACCCTAATATATTTTTGCTATGAAAATGAACTTTTATGGCATATAATAACTAAAAAACTTTTTAGGTGTTGAGTGCGCTTTCATGAATATTTTTAGGATATTCAAACACCTTATCCCTTATATATAATTTTATTTTGAGGAGGCAATAGTCAATTATACATTCCGATTGCACTAATTATGCTGCTAACCATAAAACACTCTTGTGAAGTTATGAGGATACTAGGATAATATATAAAAATGAAAATGAAATGTTAACTACGACCCCTGGTACTTAATCTAAGATCTTGTTTGATTTTTATTTTGATCTAAATATAAATCTTAATCCACTTTGTCTCTCATATTTATCTATTTCTTCCTAAGATAATCCTTCTAATAATGATAGTTCTAACTAATAAATTTAATTAGCAAGAATATTTTTGAAAGATAGCACCTATTTATTACAAATGACTAACTTAATTTATTTTCTTAATTTACTTAAATTAGTCAACTAATTTATATATTTAGAACCGGAAGTAATATTTGATAATAACTATACCATGATTTAATTTGTGATATACATTTAATTTAGATTCATGGTAATCATGACCAACTTATTATACAGG